CCACACACGGAGGAACACATCCTGCCGCAGCTCACTCCCTCAGCTGGAGGGAGAAGAGAGGACACTGACCGAGGAGAAAGGCTGTGCTGGGGGTCAGCTGACACTATTTGTGGGGCGGGACTCAGGTGGGCTCCAACTTTCAGGGATCCCATGCTTTCCGGAGAGTCACCTTTCCAGAATCGGGGCTGGTCTCCCTCTTGTCATGATTGAGACTGGGGTGGGGCCGGTGTGGCGGCTTCTCCCTGTCCTTCTAGCATTCCACGTGGGAGGGAGAGCCGCTCCAGGAGACAACCCCTGGGCCTGCCAGATTTCCTCCCATGTGGAGCTCTGTGCAAGATAAAGGCGGGCCAGGCCCTGCCACAGGACAAGCACGTAACAGATCTCCCTCTGGCCTCCTCCTGGGCTTATTGTTCTGCTGCAGTTGTTTTGAGTATGATCAAAAGGAAGGAAGAGCACTGCGCTATCAGGCTGAAGAAGAAGGATGCTCTCCTGACCGCTCCTGTTGCCCTTGGCCACTTCACTTTAAATGTGAGGAAACTGGAGGGCAAGGTGCAGCCTAACCCCACGCACGTCATGAAGAGCAGCCAGCCACAGCCAAGGCCACACTGGACCCTGTGGGGCGGCCACAACGCTCTCCAAATCGGTGACAGCCCCTTGGTGGTTCAGCCCTGGTCCTTTTCCCCTGTGTAGGCCAGAGCACAGGGTCACTGACAGTTTGGGTTAGGAGCTGGAATTAGGCCCTGGAATGGCCAACTTCTCCGCTGTTTATCCCTCGGGCTAAGAACTTAGTCCATAAGGCCACAACTGTTGGAAATAATAGGCCAGAAAAGGAACTTCCCAAGTTTGGCTGGCTCTGTGCCTATTTCTCAAGATAGTAAACAGCTCAAGTTCTTGGGAAACGTGGTCAACTTCAGGACTTTCGGCCTTTCCTGCGCTGGGTCCAGGTTCAGGCCAGAGCATAGATGGATGGAGTGCCACATCAACATCACGGCTGGGTTTCTGCAAGGAGTCGGACCAGAGAGGGTCGGTTTTCCTGCTTGCAAACTTCAGAGGCAGGGAGGGTGCTACTGAGTGTTCCGCGGGCAGACTGGCCAGCTCCATGGTCCTTTATCTCTCACGCATGTCTGCCCTGTCCAATGCCAGATGTGTCCGCCAGGTGCCTGGTTGCCTCAACCCAGTCACCTTTGTCTGGGCTGGAAGGCCACGTGTGAGCCATCAAAAGCCTCAATGGGGGAGGACGTCAATGTGCTTCCTCAACCAGAAAGGTGGTTTCAGTTTGGCCAAAGCAGCCCAACGAAACAAGCAAAAGCCTGTCAACTGAAAGATGGGGCTGCTGGGAGATCACACAACAGCAAAATGGGAACCATTATCGGCCTTGTCCCAGCCCGAAGGAGGCAGAGGCTTTGAAGCCACAGACAGGCTGAACAGAACTTTCCACCTGAGAGGCGCTGGAGATGGGAGGTCAGGCTACAAGCAGCCCCCACAAAATCTGATCAAAGCCTGCTGCAGAAAGGAGGGGGCACACAGCTGCAGGCCTGCTCCCCCCATGGGGCCGCCCAGGACTTTCTGAAGGCAACTGGGCTGCCTTTGCAGGGACCTGTGGGAAAACCCAACACAGATGCACTGCACCGCCGAGCCCCAGAGCTCTGCTGGGAGAGGGAAAAATAAACCCCTCAGTGGTCCTGAAAAGAAAAGGGAGGGAATCAAAGCATACAAAAAATGCAAAGACCACCCACCTGATGCGCGCCTACCTTTCGGAAACAAATAACTCCTGGCTTCCAAGGCATACTTCTGAAAGAACAAACGGACTCAACACTGCCGCCACAAAGCTCCATGCACCAGGGGATTTGTGGGAAGCTGAGGCCCCTTCTAAGCATGGGAAGCTTAATTTAAAGTGGCGCCTATTCAGGGGCTTCCTCGCATCCGCTCTCTTCCCTGGGAACTTGAGGGACAAGAACCCTCCCTGAGGGAGGGATGGGACGCATCTCTCAGACTGGATGGTCCTATCTGCCATTCTGGGGGCATCTTCCAGGCTGGCCCAGTGCAGTGAGGGCAGCCATGAGCAGGCTTTACACCACACAGCCAGCTGGGTCCTGGCGGTCCCACAGCTCCTCCGTGGCAGCCTTAGCCCACCCTGCCTGGCCTCGCCCCTCCTCCTCCGGCCTGAAGCCCCCTCTGGAGGATCGGCTGTTCACAGAGCCTGCAGTTTGATCTTTTCTGAAGTGGGTGCAACAAAGCTAAGCCACTTCCCCTCTACTGGCTCTTTCTCAAAAGAATGGGAGACCCTTTTCTTCTTGGGAATGGGCTTGAGGGAGAGAAGGGGCATAATAACGTGGAGACCTTGGAAGATCTGGGTGGAGGAGGAGAAAAATGGAGAAAATGGCTTTGCTGAGGAGCACTTGGGGAAAAAGAAATGAGAAACTTCCAGAACTACTGGTTTAACCACTGACATTCCTTCCCAGATGGATAGAGGGCCAGACAGAGGGCCTCAGGGAGGAGCAGGGGATGACTGAGCTGCTGACACTCAGTAGATTTAGATCTTTGTCTTACTTGACCCTGTGAGCTGGATGGGGTTATCTCCATTTTACATGTGACAGAACAGAGAGAGGTGACCCAGGCCCTCCAAGGACATACGCGGGACTGTCAAGCTGGAACTCAGCCCTCAGGCAGCCTGACTCCAAAGTTCACAACCTTTCCTCCTCGTTCCAGACCCACCCACCTCTCAGGGCCGCGCAGACGTTATTAGATGTTCCCTAAATATTTATTAGATGAAACTTGACTGAGTGGCTGAACACACGCAGACCCTTTGAGGGGCCCGATTATGGAAAGGAATTCCTCTCTGAGACAGCAAACAAAATCCCGCTCCGAGGTACAAGGAGACCCTTTTTGAAATGAATACCTAATAAAATTTATATGGACCCCCAGAAAGAAAGACAGAAGGGAACTGGAACTATATAAAAAGCAGAGTAGGTAGATAATAAAACTTCACAGTGTTGCCTTTCACCCAGGAAGCACAAAGCATCACAGGCATTAGTCACATCTTTGGGAGGTGCATGTTCACTGTATCCCTTTTTTTTTAAGCACAAAAAGCTTTAGCAACCCTCCCCAAGGTGAGCAAGTACAGAGCTGGGCCTGGAGCACAGCCTGGTCCCCCAGACCTACACTGGACGCTACTTCCAGCTGTGGCTACTGGCTCAGCAAAGGGAACCCAGCGTTTTGTTGGGAAGTTTTGGGGGGGCTGCGTTGCCAAAACGCCTTAGAAATGAAGCTGGGCAAAACTGAGGAATTAGGCCTCGGCTTTGGCCTTCACGGAGTACAGAGACCCCTTTGCCCACCCAGATGCGTGTTCTTAATTTAGGCATGCGGTCGTTTGTGTGCCTCAGGGAGTTTACTCAGAGTCACCAGCGCACTGAGGTCTAGGCAGAGCCACTCACTTGGGGCAATGCCACACCGGACAATAAGCACCTCTGTCAAAGGGGGCTGGACAAGGGTGTCTGGACCAGCGTCCATCCACAGAGGTGGAGAAGAAACCTTTCTGGTGACTGCGGCCCTGGTGTGTGGGGGCTGAGGCGCTACAGACAGGAAGACAGGAAAGGGAATGAACCTGAAGTCATGCCTTTTCTGTGGTTCACTTCCGATCATGTCCTTTCCTGGCAGAAAGATGGGTAGATGATAGATCGATAGGTAGATGACAGATTGATCCATCGATAGATAGATAGATCGATAATAGTTTTTTTAATGGCTCTCTTCAAAGAGCACCAGAGGGCTGAGGATTTAGCTCAGCGGCACAGCTCCTGCCTGGCAAGTGCAATTTTGAGTCCCGGTACCAGAAAAAAAAAAAGACCACCAGACACAAATTCCCTCACTAGATAGTTGAGTCCGTTCATGGCGTGGCTCCTCTGAGGTTCCAGTCTTACTTCTTGCTCTGCTCTTGATTTCTGTGCAGTGATTTCCACATTTGTGAGCTGCAGGCCCATAGGAGGCCAGGGGCTTCAGCAAGAGGTTTGTAACCTGGGCCACACCCAATACAAGCACAGCCTGAATCAATGGTATGCAAAACGCAAGCTGATCTGAAAGACCTGTCAAATTTCAAGCAGCTCACGGTCACTGTGTATTTTCTTGTATATTAAAGTTCAACAGCTTCTATGAGAAGGACCTGTGTTATGGTAGCAGTTTTCAAACTGATATCCAAGGGACCCCTCAGAGATCCCCTGAAGTATGAGAGGAGGAGGAGCAGATGGGCTCTCTCTCTCTCTCTCTCTCTCTCTTTCTTTCTCTCTTTCTCTCTCTCTCTCACACACACACACACTCACACTCATCCCCTAATGAAAGAAGCTCTGCTTTTTACCAGTTCTGTGCACTGCACTTTTATTTGAAGATTTATTGGGAGAAGGAACTCTGTGGGGAAGTGGAATTTACAAGCAAAGGCTCTGGACAAAGTACACGCACTTCTAGTCTGGCCCTCGCCGCAGCTCAGGGGGGCTCAGAGAGGACCCGGCTGGCTCACCACGACTAAGCTGTGCGGTGTGGGGCGATGTGACACAAGACATTACCTCTTGTCCCGATCCACACAGCAAGGCCTTGGATGCATGAAATCCATCCGGCTTGTGAAAATAAAACACGCACATGTCCACCAGCCAATCTGTCAGTGCAGAGACAGTGCCCACTTTGCACGTGTACTGCCCAGAGAATTACCGGAACATCCTGATGCCCGAGAGCTATTGGGGTGGGGTGAGGAACCCTCTAGCGCCAGCTTTTCTGGTGGGCCCAAATTCTTGGGGTAGTAGTGGTCACTAGGAGCCCATTTTTATCTCCTTTAGTTTCTATCCAAATTTGCCTTTGCCTGTGTGCCTGGTGCTTCCCCTCCAGGCTTTCAGAGGACACAGAGCTCCCCAGGCGGCCTGGAGTAATTGGAGCAATAAAAGATGACAAAGCAGGACCCCCAACCCTGCACTCCCAGAGCTCCTTCGGTAGGCCTCTGTCCGCCCAGCCCAGTTTCAGACAGAGCCAAACATAAAGAAATCCCCCAAAGTGTCCAGAAGAGCCCTTATTAGTAAATGGAACTCATGCGGGAGATTCGAAAGGATGCTTTTGTCCCTGCATTTCACCTTGCCATCCACATGCAATTTTTTTTTTCCTTTTTTTTTTTTCCCACATGCAATTTTAAAAAGCCACCATTCCAGCACTCGGGCTGGAGGGAACTGCTAGAAAATGGGATGACAAGCCCCTGGTGACTCCTCTGTGTTACCCCAACACCTCCTAGAGGGGAGTGAAACGCAGGGGCAAACAGACCCAGGCCTGTCCTGGCTGTGCTGGAGCCAGCTAGAACGTGGCTCCGTGCGTGCGTGCGTGCGTGCGTGCGTGCGTGCACACGTACGAGCATAAACGTCCTTGGCTCTCAGTTCCTGTGTGGTCTGCGAGGGGGAGGGGAGCACCTGCCTGCCTAGGTACTTGGGTCGGTATATGGGGAGACCCAGGAAGGAAGTCCTAGGACAGCCTGCCTCTGGGTAAGCGCAGGTCTCTCTGTGGTTGTGTGTTGGGGAACGCTGGGCACGTTTGTCTTGGGGCGTGTGTGCACGTGTGGTATGCACCCACACTCAAGCGTGGCGGGGGAAGCTGGGAGCAGGAAAGTTTTGAGTCTGTGAAAATTCTCAGGTAGAAAAAAACCTGGCAAGTCCCCATACCACAAGTTGGTACACAGTCAGCGCTTGTAAAGTTCATTTCCTGTGTTACTTACCAGCCCTTGTTTATACAGGACACAAAATGTGACTGATAGCAGGCATTCCAGGTCTTGGGGGTGTGCTGAGGGAGGGTGCGGCGGGGGGCGGGGAGGTCCCTCACCTATTTCTTTGCAAAGATAGGTGAAATCCGTTTTCCGCATTAAGCCACAATCCCTCCTCGTTTGGGGTCTTGCACGATACCACTACACCAGCAGCGCTGTTTCCCCACTCATTTGGGAAAAGAGAGCGCAGCTGTAATTTTTAAATTGTGTCCCTCATTGTCCTAGAGCCATTTAGCAGCCTGTTGGCTTCTACAGTGGCCGCGTGAGCTCTCTTGTGTGTGTTTCTGCGCCTTCAAACTCAGCCGGCCCGACCTTGAGCTTTAGCGTGTCCGCCGCGCCCCAGGAAGTGTTTGTGGGCATTTTCCCTCCGCCTTCTTCCTGCTCCGCTTTGTTCGTAGCACAGGAGGGTAAGGCCTGACTCGAAAGCCCTGCTGTTTGTGTGAGGGCTGCAGGTTGCACAGGGCCCTCAGGCCCTGCACATGGGGAGCTGGGCCAGACCCCACCGACACGGCGGCGTGGGCGGGCCTTTCAGAACAGCAAGGTACGAGGAGAAACTACACTCTACACACTCCTCGACAGGGGACCTTCTCCGTGTCCATCTTGCCTGTATGTTCATCCACGCAGTGCATCTACCCAGTGCCTGTGTGTTCATCCACAGCTCACGGCAGACACTCAGTGACCACGAATTAGCTGTGGTGCATGGCATTCCACTCAAGTCATGGTGCCGTTAGCAGAGGCCACCGTGAGAGCGTCGCTTCTCAGAAGGGCTCCGGACCCTGCTAAACCCGGTGACCTGCACTCCACTCTGTCCTGACACCTCTGTTCTAGCCGTGCCGTGTGCCTCTATTCTTCTTCGTCTAGACTCACAAAAGACTCACAAATCTCCTAGCCATTGGGTTCCACAGAATGGAGAGCCTGAACCTATCAGGAAGCCAAGTCTAGACCAAAAGGACTTTGAAGATCATCCTACAAACTTTGGTGCTGGCCATGGGAGGGTATCCAGGGGAGGCACCCGAGGCTCCCTGGCAGGCAGAAGCTGGAGGTGCTGAGCTATGTTCTCCCATAGCTTCAAAGCCTGTGCTGCATGAGTAAAGGCTGTTTCTGAGTGAAGGGTCCCCAGTAGGTGTCGGGGGACCCAAGGACGCTGACCAGGTTGTTTCCTAGGCTGTCCCCTGATCCATGACAAGGGTCCAGTTATGGTGCCCTTGCTCTGTCACCACAGGCAGTTTACACTCTACTTACTGACAGAGTACTGAACAAGAGCAGGACTCTAAAGACTGGGACTCCTGACTCCTTCATGAATTCTGGAACTCTCTGAGGTGCTGCCTAAAGTTGGAAGAGAAGCTTGCCGAGGGTACCACGGTGGGAATGGAGGCAGCGACGTACAGACCTTTGCAGGGACGTCAGCTCCTGTCCGCTGAGGGCCCTGGCACGAAGCTGACAGCCCATGCAAGCTGGTGGGGCGCTCCTTTGATTTGTCTCAGGGTGCTCCAGACTACCATGATTTCAGCCTGGGGAGACATCTTGGCTTGGCTGGAAGGGTCTCCACCAGGAGCCCAGGCTCCAACCTGCAGGAAACAAATTCCTGTGGGGAAGTCCTGCTGCTCCACGGAAGCAGTTTTCCCGGTGTCATCTGCTTACCTGCCAAGATTAGTCCCTGAGAGGATGCCAATTTCTCTGTCTTCTCTACTTGTCCCTAAAAGATCCCAAGAAGAATTCAGCCCCTGAGAGCTGGGGAAGGGTGCCTGAGGACTTTCCAGCAAGTAGCATTTGTATTGAAGGCCTGTTCCTCAGGGCTTGCTCTCAGGGAAGCGCAAGGTTCCACTGCTTTGTCTTCCCTAACGGCCCACAGGTGTCTCCGTGTCTCTGTCCTTGTACCTGTCACACAGCCATTCCACCCCTCTTTGCCTCTGCCCCAGCTGGCCTTGGAGCCTCTGAAATGCCAGGAGCTGTCTTAGAGCCATGCTAGGGGAGTAGGGTGGCCAGCTGGGGTCCCAGCTGAGGGCCTGGGTGGAGAACACCCAACGCTCACTAGCCGTTGGGTTTGGGGAAAGGTGGTTTTAAGAGTGAGTGAAATCTGGCCTGATTCTCATCCCCACTCCCTGATACTTAGCACTGCTGCCCTTTACCTTAAAAATGGAGACAGGGTCCCCAACTCCCCACTGCACCGCGAAATCAGAGGTGAAAGAACTTGGTAAAATCGCCAGTGCGACACACGTAGGGAGTTGTTATGTTAAAGAACCCCAGCCCGCTTCATGACTGTCACAGGACAAACACAGGATTGCTCTACCACTTAGAGGCCCAGCTCCTCCTAACTGTGCTGCTTCCCAGGTGAGCTTCCCTGTGTTGCTGCCTCTCAGTGACGGCTCCTTTACCTGTGAAATGGGAGTGGGGTTGCCAGGGCAATGCTTTGCATCTTAACTCAGCGGCATGATTGTTGGTAATGCTTTGTAGTACCAGGGGTTAAATGAGCATTAAGATGCTTTCCTGAAGGGTGATTTCTAGAAGTGACCCAGTCTTTGGTATGATGTAGGAATTGAGTAATCCTAAATCTGTCCTTTGTGGTCATTAAGTACGGTGCCTGCCCTATAAGATTCAGCGTAGGTCTCTAGCTCAGAGATTGACAAACTTTCACCATAGAGGGGCAGATGTTAAAAATTTTCAGCTTTGCAGGCCATGGGTCTCTACTACTAAAGCAGCCACAGACAAGACATAAATACGTGGTCACCTCTGTGTTCCAATAAAACTTTATTTACAAAATCATGTAGGCTGTGTTGACCGTGGTTTGCTGACCCCTGCTTTAGCTTATGGTAGGTGCCCCTCTAGAACCTGGGAAATTAAATTGTTGAAGATAGTTGAGCAGAGGCCTCCACTTGTCCAGATCCTGGATTCTAACTGTTTACATAGGCCCAGATCTATGTTCCTGCTGCAGGGTCACAGCAACAAGACCCTCACCTCTTCTTCACTCCCTCCCCAGCCTTTGAGAAATCGCAGGCCCATTCAATGCAGCTGCTTAATGGAGAGCAGAGTTTCTGTGCCTCCTGGATCTGTTCCCGTCCCCTCCCCATCCGGGGCCTTTCCCCTCCATCCCAACTTTGTGGGACACACAATTTGTAATCTCCTTAAAACCAAAGATGCAAGGTCTCTGATTCGTGTAGTTTAAAATCAGCTGCAACCTATTAATGGCCCAGAGCCCCAAGACAGATTTTAGGAAACAAAAACACTGGACCAAATTAGGCTGAACTGGCCCCTGTCTCCAGGGGAGGGAGACGGAGGAGGAGGCTGGGGTGGGGGAGTGGCCATGTGGTTTCAATTAATTTGGTTCTCTTCCTAAAGCTAATTCACCCAACACAAAGCATGTGCAGCGCCATAGCAGCGGCCGGCCTCAGTAGCCCTGCTTTCCCTGGTAGAAGCCCTGGGCCTTTTTGGGGGGGCTGGAGCTGGGGTTGGTTGTGTATCTATAATTAACAGGTTTCAAAGTGGTTATTTTGGAAAAGAGAATTTCAGTGGTGCGTTAAAATCCTTTCATCAGCCATCAGCTGGCGTCCCAAGGCCTTCAACAAGGTCCTTGCCACTTAAAGGCTTGAGAGCATGCTGAATTCCCAGGATCTTGCTGGAGAATGTGGAGGCTTTCGCCATGGGTTTTATGAGGCAAATGGTTGCCATGATTTTCATTATGTTGTTTGATTACTGGGATCATAAAAATGTTTCTCTCTTCCTAGAATACCTAGGGTCATTATAACGAAAAGCTTTGCTTTACAGAAGTTGCATAACACACAAGCGAGCCATGGCCCTGTCATGGGAAGAGGGATGGCTCTAGCACTGGCTGGGGAAATGATGAGGCTGAGAGAGCCTGGGCTGTTGGCCGACACCCAGGCCTGACTGTGAGCTGAGGAAACTGAGGCCCAGAGGGATCTTGTGGCTGAAGCCAGTCTGGGATATTCTGATGGTCCTCCCTGTCAGGTGTTCTTTCTCTTCCCAGTGACTCAAGGTTGAGAATAGAGTTGGGATCCTCAGAGTCAGAGGCAGCTTAAAGTCAAAGGCCGAGGTGGACAGAGGAACGATCCCCACGAGTACGGCACTGAGGGAGCGCTCCTCTGAGCCTGGAAAGGCAGCACCACAGCTCTGAGAGGAAAGGGTCACTTGAGCCCTCAAGTGGCACCCATGGCCTGAGCTGTGGAGAGGAGGCAACTAGATACCAAGCCCCACAAACCACAGAGATGATTTTTTTACTGCTGTGAATCTGAAACCTGGTCAAGTTCCCAGAATCACCATAGAGTGTGACAGGAACTTTGGTTGAGCTTGTGTTATCTGATAAATGCAACATTATACTGGCTTTACTTCATATTTCTATAATGGCTACCTTCCAGAACCTTCTGTCATGGAAGACAAAACATATTCTGGAAGAGTTGCTGTTAAATAACCTCTGGTGCTTAAAAAGAGTAGAAGAGCTTTAAAGAAACAGGCCCTGCACTCAGTTGGACACTTGTAAGACTAGTCCACAACAAAGCCATGAAACGCGTTCAGTGAATTAGAGGGTGCCAGAGCTGGGAGAGAAATTGAAGCCCAGCTAGGCCAGGCTTTCATTGTACAGACAAGAAAACTGAGGCTTCAGGGCATGTCCAAAGTTATATAATTGGCACAGAGAGTCTAGCCCATGATCCCTGACTCTCAGCACAAGGTTGGTCAGCTAACCTATGCTTTACCACATCATTGCTCCCCTTTCAGCTTGACACGTTCATTTATTCATTCAATATTTATTGACCGCCTCCTGTGTGTTAGACGTTTCTAGGTGTTGCTGATTTTATTTCTTTGAAATAAGAAGATGCATTTCTATGGAACCCATTAAAGAAGAAATTCCCTTCCCAAATCCATATTTTAGGAAAGTCAGGTGGCTTTTATGAACTTGGGGGGTCAATGGGAGGAATACCTGGCATTCTGGGTGTGCCTCTCAGATGGGTACAAAATATCATTGTATAAGGGTGAGACCTACCTAGGCTACCTCTGCTCGAAGCCACCTCTTTTCCCAGCAGACACCAGGGCAGTGTAGCCCAAAGGATTCTGGGAATGGAAATCAAAGGGAATTCTCTGGATCCAAGTTTGAATGCGTTTCAGTGGGAAGCCAGGCCAGTTGAAGGCATACAGGTTGCACAGGTCTCTCCGTCTGTTTCCCATCATTTTCCTCCTACAGTTTGCTTGTCGGTCCTTTGCTCTTGTTTGCCTCTGTGTGAATAATTCCTCGATTGTAAATCAGAGAACTTGGCACTGAGTTTTGGATTATCTGTGGTCTTTAACTTTCCCAGGGCAGAAGAAATGAAACCAGCAAATCTCTTTGTTTCTCATGGTTCAGCCTCCAAATCGGGAAAGTACTGAACTGTGTAGGGTGAGCCCTGCCTGAGCCTACTCGGCCCCCACCATTCACTGAAGGTAATCAGTCATGCAGGGATCCACCCATCCACCCAACAAATATTCAGAGAGCACCTATGTGGCAGGCTCTGCTCTAGAAGTGTTTCTCGTTAGCCTGTTGACATCTTAGTGCTAGTGAAAGTAAGCAAACAGTCCAAAGAAACATATGCAGGAATATCTGGTGTTCTCAGGGATTGGTCCCAAGACTTCCGCAGATACCAAGGTCCACAGATGCTCAAGTTCCTTAGATAAGATGGCCGTGTATTTGCCTTTCACACATGCATGTCCTCCCACATACTTTACATCATCTCTAGATGATTTGTAACACCCACTACAGTTGTCCGTGTTCTGTAAATAGCTGTTATGCTGCGCCAAGAAGGAATAATGACAAAGAAAACTTTCTATACCTGTTCAGTGCAGATGTAACTCTTTTTTCTGAGTGTTTTCAGTCCATGGTTGCTTGAATCGACAGCGGCAGAACTTGCACACGCAGGGGACTGACTATATACATGTGCTAAGGGCCTTAAAGAAAGTAGAGCCCGTGGGAGACGGCAGGGCGGAGTGCACTATTCGCGACATGGAAGCGGAGGCTGGGTGAAAGGAGAGGAAGCCACAGTCAGTCCAGGAAGAGCATTCCAGGAGGAAGGAATAGCCAATGCAAAGACAGAGACCGTTTGACGTGTCTGGGAACAGCACGGAAGAGGAAGCCAGAGACAAGACCAAGTGAACAACGGCGATAACCGTGCTCCTCAGGTCAGAGTGTAGGTTGCGCTGAGCAGCATGGGATGTCCTTGGCAGCTATAGAGTAGGGGTTGATGCAGCAGAGCTGAACATTCAGAGCCTGCACGGAGGCCGATGAGACAGCGGCCTCAGACACGCGGCACTGGTGGCTGTGTCGCTCGGGAGGAGCAGCGGGTGGAAGCTTGTGAGAGCTACACGTCCTGGCAGGGCGAGGCTGGGTCTGGGCGCTCACCGCTCTGGTTGGTCTTTAAGCCCCGAAAAAGGAAACACTGCTTTCCCAATAGTAGGACTGGGTCTGGTGAGTCGGAATCCTCAGCCATCTGGACCTCTGGGAGGTTGCTGGTGCAGGTTTCGAGCCCCCAGCTGGCCTGTTTGGCCCTCATCAGGGTCTTGGTTGGGGCCTCCAGACTGCGAAGACACGGGCTCAAATACAGACCCAGCCTTGAGGGAGTCTGGCTTTGCTTCTGGCTGACTGTGTGCTGTCTGCTCAGCTTCCCTCCGGAGCCCTTTCACTAAACACAGGCCGGCTCAGCCCAGCCAGAGGGAAAGGCGAGGCCCGCACGCTGGGTTCCATCCTCCGCAAGGCGCAGCCCCACCTTGTCACCTCTCTGGCATTTGGAAGAAGTACCAAGCCTAGGCCTGCATAGCTACATTTATATCAACTAAGATGAAATAAAATTAAATCTGCTGTTCTTCAGTTCCCCTTCTACGTTTCAAGCGCTTGATAGCCACACAGGGGTGGGGCGGCCACGTTACAGGACAATGCAGACGTAGCACATTTCCGTTGCGGCAGGAAGTGCTGTCGGACGGTTTTCACTTCTTTCGAAAGGGAAGAATCCAAGAGATTTGAGCAAGTGAACATGCACAAAGCACAGGGCATCTTGCCTGCCCCCTCACAGGGACCAGCAAAAGATAGTCCCACGACGTACACCGGAACGTCCACACACTGCTCTGCTGCGGCCGACCGTGTGGCAGGCCAACCTCTCCTAGGTTCAGTTTCCTGATATGTAAACTGGGAGTAATATGAACTTCTGAGTGACTCCTCCAGCACCACATGGTCCCCACTTTTCTCATGTCTCCCTGGGGCTGGGAGACCTTGACCCTTGCAGCTGCCTTATCCAGACCAGAATTAGGAAGCCCCCATCCTCCTTTGAAGCAAGTGGACAAGTCCGATGAACAAAAAGAATCACTTTGACCCCAGTGAGATACTGACCCGACAGTACTGATGCTGGGCGAGAAGCCATGCCTGCCTCCCTGGCCCAGGCCTCTCCTTTCCGCCTGTGGTCCCCGCTGGGGTGTGGCTCCTGGAGAGAGGCCCTCAAGCAGCCCTTCTGCTATCTCGGTCTCCATCAGTTTTCCTTTCCACACAGTTGGGGTTTTGTTGTTAAATGTTTCTTAAGGACAGGCATTCAGTGGGTAGAGTCAGGGATTTGCCTGGGGCTGGAAGGAAGTTATCTGCCAGGTCAGGATGAGGTGTGGCTTAAGAATTAGAGCTGGAATTCCCTTCACCTGCTTCATGCATTTCGGGGAAGATTTGCTTTCAAGTCCCAAATGACCTGCTAGTATTTCTAGACCTGAGATCCTATCTCCGCTGGCTGTTTTGTTTCACTTCTGGTAAGAAAGACAAAGAAAAAAGAAAGAGAGGCTCAAGAACAACATTCCTATATTCCCCTAAATAAAATTTCACAGCCGGAGTGATTTGCTTCACTGTTTCTGAAAAGCAGTGGAGAGGGGCCTCAGAGCCCCGTCCCCTGGAGGCCCAGCTGGGGCCTGGCGTGGTGAGTGTAGCTGGTGCTCCGGAAACTCAGGGAGCGGCGCCAACTTTCTGTGTCTGATGGAACTTCTAAATCTCTCCTCCCTTCAAGCTGGTCCACCTGCAACCTTTTCTTCTTGCACATCCCACTTCCACACTGCTGGGGAGTCCTGTGGGCTCCCCCTTCAAAATCCAACCAAAATCCAACGGCTTCCACCAACCCCACTGGCAAGGTCCTGCCTCTTCCCCGGGTCAGCTGCAATGAACTCTTAGTGGTCTTCTCCTTCCCACTCTTCCTACTTCCACTCACCCTCAGATATATTCCCAACGTAACAGCCAAGTCGGGTCCCATCCCCCTCTCCCTGAAACCCTTCCAAATGACTTCCAAATGGTTCCCATCCCGTTCAGAGCGAAAGCCACAGTTCTCAGCGTGACCGCAGAGGCCCTAAATCACGCGCTCCCGTTAGCGCGCCGACCTGCCTTCCCCATCTCCCCCTCACTCATTCCTCTCCAGCCGCATCAGCCTTCTCGCTTTCTTCAAACACGCCAGATGTGTGTCCACCTCAGGGACTTGGCGGCAGCTGCTCCCTCACCTTTCCGAGCCTTTTCCCGATTTCTCCTCAGCGCGGCTGACCTGACCCGGAGCATCCTCATTCATCTCGGAAGCTGTCTGTACCTCCTCGTGTTCCCGCGACCTCCTTGGCCTGACCCTCCCTCTCCCCGCTTATCATTAACGTACAGCGTGTCTCCCTTATATGTTTATGGTTTCTCTTCCTCCTCCTAGGGCGATAAGCTCCATTAGGACAGGGACTTCGGGCTGTTTGCTCATGAACAGCTCACAGCTGCTCTTCGCTTCCCACTGGTGACGTGCTCTCGGAGACAGGGACTGTCCAGGCAGTCAGACCTGAGAATGATTAGAGCTAAAGCAAGCCCAAGCTCTGCCGTGCAAACATCTCCAAGGCTAAGGGAGGGTTAAAACTCCCAGGGGTCTTCAGTGAGCCAAATTCAGAGGAAGCAGGGTACAGGAAGTGAATCCCAGCTTGTGGAAGTAAGGGAACAAGAAGTAACCAAGAAATGCTGGTAGACATGGACAACAGGAAGTGAATAAAATAAACAGCAATGACTTTTTAAAGATACAGACGAATTTCTTTAGGCTGTTTTCAGATGTTTTTGGTCTAAACGAGTCCTTTCCACTCTGTCAATGTATTGAAGACCCCCAAAGAGCTTTTGTGTTTGGTAATATCTACCAATAAGCCCGTGCTGGCCAGTCTTTAGCCTCCAAAGATCCTCATCATTCAGTATGTGTCTTTTTCCCACCCTGAATCAGGGCTGATCCTTGGGACAAACAGAAAATGGCCGAAATGCCAGGTGTGGTGGCGCACGCCTGTAATCCCAGCACTCAGGAGGCTGAGGCAGGAGTATCACTGTGATTTTGAGGCCAGCCTGGGCTAAAAGTGAGTTCAAGGCCAGCCTGAAGTGCATAGCAAAAACCCTGTGTCAAAAAGACAAAAAAAAAAAAAAAAAAAAAAAAAAAAAAAAAAAAAGGAAAGAAAATGGCAGAAGTGATGGTGTGTGATTTCAGAGGCTAAGTCATAAAAGGGCCTACAGATTCCCACTTGGCCGCTTCTGTTCACTTTGGAGAAAACCAATGGCCATGTTTGCAGACCATAGGACAAGAACCATATGGAACAAAACCAAGTCCTGCCAACAGCCAGCAACCGCTAGCCGTGCTTGTGAGTAAAGGCAGGTCCGCCAGCCCCAGGCAAGCCTTCAGATTACTGCAACCTGCTGAGAGAGCCCAAGGCAGCACAACCCAATCAAGCCATCCCTGAATTCCTACCTCTCCCGACTGTGGGAGAGAACAAATAATTTTTGTTGTTGTAAGCAAATAAGTTTTGGGGTACTTTGCTATAAAGCAATAAATAAATAACTTGTCATGTTAAAAATTAAAGCAAAAAAATATTCATTTGTTGGTTTTAAATTTTATCCATTGATATGAATAAATTAATACTTAGTAGCTCATTAAAACTTACTAATTCATTAATTGATTAAAAAGTTTAAAATAACATTTTATTATAAAAAAAGAACTGTGCTTTCTAAAACAAAACAACATTTAGGGAGAAGAGTGTTCTAAATTTTTGCAAACTCTTTAATGTCTAGCTTAATAGAAGACAGCTGGATTCCCATATCTACTTCTGCATTCAATCAGCTGTGATAATGTTTTGGTTAAAGTATGTGAAGAAAACCCAGCCTCCCATACATAGATTTTTGGAAAACGAAGGAATATCTTAGTGGCCTTTTCAGATAATTATGAATACTCTTCTTTGACATATGCCTAAACTCAACTAATGGTAGTTTAAAGTTTAATTGCAATTTGAAGTTATATCAATGAATTTTTGTGCTCAGTTACACTAAAATCCATTTGGTCTGGCTTGTACTTTGAATAGACTGTCTGCCCAGGCATGATTTTATAATATTATGCATGGGTCATTTGGAAAATATTGCTTCATTTAATTATGCAGATCTTCTTACTTTGATATATGCCACAGTGAAAACTAAAACTTCAAATTTGTTCATATTACCCACTGATCTCATCAGAACCTTCTGTAAGTAGAGGGAAGGTATAGAGCTTCTTGTATCTGTGGCAGGTATAGAGCTTCTTGTATCTGTGGCAGGTATAGAGCTTCTTGTATCTGTGGCAGATACAAGCTTTCAAAAATTCCAGTGTTTACTGAGCACTTCTATTTTGACAATAAATACTGTTGATTATCTTTCTTGAATCGACAAATCACTGTCTGAATGACCATAGGCTATTCCGTGCTTTTGCACTAGCCTGGTGTTCCACAGAAGTGACTAGCTCTGTCAAAACTCAACACCTCCTAGGTCTTTTGTACTTTTCCAAGCCGTCACATTGCAGAGTATACCAGCAGGTGGATACCTCCATTCCAGCTCATTACACAGACTAGTTCAAAGGCAAAAGTATCCTGTGGGCAAGGTTTCATAAAATTCATAACTTTGATTGTTTCATCTAGGTTCATTCTTAAGTGAAACTTTTTTCTGTCCCCCGCGAGTCTGCAGCAGGGAAGAATACTATGATTGCTGGTGTTGTCTGGCGCCAGCAATTTTATCCAAATGTCAACACGGTGAAGAAGGCAAATAACACCTTGGTAGTATTATGAAAATAGTTTTGGCCTTGCAGACACCCTGATAGGGTCTCAGGGATCCTAGGGGTCCATGGACCTCACGATGAGAACCACCGCTTTAGAGAACTGGCTGTGGTTCCGTTACTCACAGCACGTCTAGGTGACTGTCCTACATGCTAAGAACCGTGTGTGAAATGTAATGGCTACCACTTGCTGCATAAACTAGAAAACGTATCACTAGACAGATATTCCGGGGTGAACTATATGTGCAGCAGGCTCTTTATTTAAGAGAGATTAGTGTAATCTCTATGCTTTTGTTTGTCCCTCTTGTAAGGCTCTGAGAAATTCCTCAGACTGTCAGTGTTGAATAAATAAGGCGGAGGCGGCAAACACCTGCACCCCTTCTGGGAGCCCTGCTTCCCCTTCGTCCCACCAGCAGGGAAAGCTCAGAGGATGGGGAAGACCCCCTTTCCAGAGTGGCGGGGTTCCGCCTAGCTTCAGGCTAGGAGCAGGCAAAGCTCTCGCCCCGACAGTCACCATGGTGTGGGCCGGAAAAGCACCACACCCAGAAGTGCATTTGTTCCGGCAACCATGGTGCCCGCAGCTGTTGAGCGGCGCCTCACCCTCCTACCCGGCCGCCGATTTCCTACCCCAGGGTCGGGGTGTAAACGGAGCGGGGAGGTGGTTGTTTTTCATTCCTGCTCAGTTTAGCTTGCACGGCCTTTCAGGGCTGAAATGTCAAGCAGGTTCGCACCCCACACCTGACTGGGCTCAGCTATTTGGCATGTGATTGCATAACCGTTCTGTCTGGAGCGCACGCCCCAGTCTGCGGGCAGGACTGCAGGCCCTGGGAACCAGAGACCTTTCCACATCTGCTCGCCTAGTTGGGGGCAGGAGGAAATCACTGAACACTTCAAACATGGGGCCAGAACCAGGAGACACAGGGGAAGGCTTAAACCACTAGTGACCCCAGGTCATATGAGCACCCTGTGGTCCCCCACGGTCCCCTTTCATCCCCTCAGGTCCCTGATACTCGGTCTTTTCATCCCCCTTCAGGTCAGCAGGATCAGGTTGATGTAAGTTGTGAGCTTATTGAATGAAGGGGGAAGCAGGTGTTTGAAAACCCCTTCACCGCTGAAAGCTGGCTTGAATAAAATAAGCAGTGTGGCTGAAGCCAGCGTCTCACACTTTTCCTTCCCTAGAATTCTTGCTCTTTCCTGCTCATCTCTTTCTGGTTTGGAACCCCTCGAGGCCGCTGGTGACCAGTCACCAAAGCAAACCATGCAAAGAGCTAAGGATTTAGAGAAAGAACTAGAGGTGTGACACCCTAGGCTGAACAGCAGCCCACCATGCTAGAGCCTAGGAAACAGCATTCAGAGGCATCCAGACGTTTCTCCTCAGTGGTTTGCTGGACCAGTTACTATGGACTTGTAGGAACTGACTGCACAAGCTTTTCACCTCCTTCACAATCATGGTATCATGCTGGAGGCTTGAACTGACCGTGGTGGGAATATTTACACCACAGAAATTAGCAAACTACCATCCAAGCTAGCTGTTAGGCATTTACCTAACACACCAGCCCTGCCACTATACCGGGGATCACTTCAAATACGAGGCTCAAACCAATTTCCTTGAAATATTCTAGGGAAGAGATGAGATGAGGTGGGAACGTTGTTATTCCACATGCCGATTTCCTGGCCAGCCTGAACTGAGTCTAATCCTCTGGAGGTGGAGCCTGGAGAAATACTTTTTAGCAAGTCCCCAAGGTCATTAACAAATTCAATAAAATTTGAGACTTCGGGCTGAGGGAGTGGGAGAGAAGAGTGGGCGTGCATCTGGCTCTTGGCATCTGGAATAAACAGCTGGCCTGAGTCCCAGTTGGCCTGAGAATGGACAGCTGTTTTCCCTCGAGATATAAACTTCTTGACAGGAAAAGGAGGTGGGAACTCTGGGGTCCCAGCTACTCACTGACAGCACAACTGGCTCTGCCTTGGATCCCAGGATGTGTCCACTTTGCAACCTTGGGACTTTGACCCAAGACAACATGAGCGCATGCCCGGACTAAGGCGCCATGGAGAAGGAAGTCACCAGCACGCACGCCCACCACTGATGAGGCCCGTGGAGCACAGGGAGAGCCCGCAGTCAGTTTTCCACATTCAGTTGCTCAGGACAACAGTTTTCTTTCAGATGTACATAGACATAATCAGAAGCTTTCACAGCCAGGCATGCTTTGCTTTATTTATTTATTTATGTATGTATGTTTTTGTCTTCTTGAGGCAGGGTCTCGCTATGCAGTTCAGGCTGGCCTTGAGCTCACTTTGTAGCCCAGGCTGGTCTTGAACTCGCAACGATCCTCCTGCCTCAGCCTCCCGAGTGCTGGGATTACAGGCGTGCACCACCATGCCTGGCTAAGGCATGCTTTGCAACACAAAGGCCTTATTGGCTTTATCCCGCTGAGTCTGGAACTGTAAGGCAGAAAAAGAGAAAAGAAAGGGAGAAGTGGGAGCCTTTCTTTTCCCAGCCGGGGCACCAGAAAGTGTGTGGAGAGCCTGCCCATTTTAGACTTGTTTTGCACCCACCTAGGGGAGCAGTTCGGGGGCATTTTTCCTAAAAGCTTGATTGTGGTTCCATCCTGGGAGGAAGAGAAAACAGACAGAACCAGGTATGTGAAAACAGAGCTAGCAAGTAGAGGAGCTGGTGTTTGGACCCCAGTTTTTAGAAAGTTCCCCCCCTTTTTTTTTAGTGTCAGGAATTGAACTCAGAACCTTGCACTTGCCAGGCAGGCCCTGTGACACTGAGCTATATTCCCAGCCCCAATTTTTATGACTGAAAAAATCAGTACACTTTCCTCCCGAGCACAATGCAGTATTTTTCAGCACGTGGTGAGAGCCCAGAAAATTCGTAACAAGCAACTGAGCAGTGACACTGGAATATTAGAAAGTTCTGTGAATTCCTAAACATCAAAGTCCCTTATATGCGAAGCAAATTC